TCTACAAATAGGAATGTCCGCTTATAATGTATGTACACTTCCAGATATTTCAATGCGCTCCTAGTAATCGTGAATGCGCGTAACGCTAAACTATTTTCTTACATAGACGTACGTCTATTTGCGAATTTTTTGTTAATCATTAATTAAATTGTGATAAATTGTGACAGGAGTTCGTATATGAAAAACTTGAATGATTACTCCTATTTCCTGTCCACTTTGAAATAATGAACGCATTAAAATCATGAAACTTAGAATGTAATTATACAAAAACACGTAGTCAGTGAAAATAACATTTGAAAAAAATGTCAACTATTTCAAAGAATATTATCATCAAAACAAAAAATGATTTCTTTTTTGCTCTACGAGCGATAGAACTGAAAGGCATTCTTGCATATTCATAGTTTTCGACCTTGTTCTCCTCCAGAGTTGCTTTGTCGCTAAGATATATGAAATATTTTCGCAAGGCTTCGCTTCTGCCATAGGATTTTTATTGAAAAAAAAATCCCATGATCTCATGTTCTTTTATAGATATGCATATAATGCTAGCAAATATGATATATTGTGCCATTTTATTATTATATCTCTTATATCTGAGCTCATATAATTAAGACCATTTAAAATGACTATGACAGAATCTTTTAGAAAATATAGATTTTCATTAAAATATCAATAATGAAAGAGAAAAGCATTCTATCCAAGATCGTCCTAATGTCCATTCATCAATTTGTCAGATTTGTCACAAGATTCATTGCTCTCAGCATCACTGTTGCACAGGATATATGCATTAATTGAAGATTCCAATACATCAACAATTTCAACTAGCTTTTTAAGAATCTCGAAAAAATATATTGTGAAATAGAAAAAATTAAAGTTCATATCAATTTTTTTCAAATGTTTGCAAACCTGACTTGTCATCGACATTTTAATTCAAGTGCTGAAAATACGTATCATGTATCATGAAAGAAATTAATTAAAAAAAGTAAACTGAATAAATTTAAAAAATTGTTTAAATACTTCGCTTCTCATAATCCAAAAATAGATCCTGTACGTTGAAAAATTTTTCTGTAATTATTGTTACTCACCGCTTTCTTCTAATCAAATCACAATAACTTCAAATCTATTTTATTCGAAATCAATATGTGTTCATCGATTTGTATTTTCAAAACTTTAATTAAAATCACAGATGCGAGCATTATTTAAATGAAAAAAGTTTAATATTTCATATTAAATATATGGATATATTTTGTGTTCGAACTATCAAGAACCTTCAAAATTATTAAGAAATCTCAAAAAAGACTTTTTTTAAATTTCAATTGATCAAGATGTTGTGTATTATAATTAAATAACTTAATTAACAAAAATAATGCATAAATCTTTTTCAAAATTTTTAAGCCACTTTAATATTATGAAATTATTAGATCGTCATGTGTATCAAGTTATGATGTCAAAAAAGATGTATCTAGTAGAAAGGGGGGGACGACGACTAAAAATAATGTTAATTAAGAAAAATAAAAATAAAAATTTACCATAAATTAATTGATATTTTAATAATGAATAATATTTGATATTACAGGCTGTGCACTATGAATAATTATGATTTTACAGGATTATGTCTCTCACAAGACCATAACATCTGTTGTATTCAAAGAAAAATTATGAAATGACATCGCAGTTATATGTCTTCTAATAAAATTAAATGTTTATTATTAATTCACTCCGCTGAGAATGGGAGTGATACACAAAATAAATTATATATATAAAAGGGAAAATATATCCGTCAGCAATGTCCGTAAAGTATCCCGTCGGCAAAGAAAATGTTTTCTTTTTTTCATTAAATTTGGTCGAGATCGATTAATCTGATAAGTAAACAGTTGATATGTTAATTCACAACTCCTAGTTGTAAAATTTTATTAAAGATAATCAATAACTCTTAAGAACTTCATATGCATACGTAGATCCAATAAGAGATGAAGAAATGAAAAAAAAATGATATATATTAATTATTGCCATTGATTTAAGTCCGACAAACGTAGTTACACTTTTTTTTATCTTTCTTAGTATCAGTATTAATCAGTATTAATTATCGCGGATTGCGTATATATTATTATTATTATCTAGCATAAACATATAGGCATGTATAATACACTACGTAAAGACACGCAAAAATATCTTATAAATAAGATATTTTTTTCAACTATAAATCTTTTAATGATTACAAACAAATAATTGTTTAGTCGCAATTTATAGAGGGTTTTAAAATTTTGAGAATAGTATGGAAAAATATTTTTACGGAAATTTGAACACGTTCATATGGCATTCTCCTTATTGAAATGTCCCATATGTACGCTGCATGCCTATTCCATTGTATCTTTAATGCATAGAGTTTTGCGGCATTGTTGTTAATTTAATAAGAAATAAACAAATTGAACAATACTAGTATGACAATAGACAATAGACACCGGATCAGTATGCTGACCATCAGTATGATGTCTACTCTTTGACAGATTGTATGCAGATAAAGAATCTTTATCTTCAAATTGCATTTATATATTTTTTATAAAATTTCGCAAAACTTTTATTTTTTTATTTCATCCGAATATATGATTTAAACATTACAAAATCTATATGATATTTATAAATAAGTCAATGGTCCAAAGAGAGAGTGATAGAAAGAATTAAAAATAGAAAACTTAT